GGACGGTGAAATTCTCGCCGCGCTCGTCCTTGACATAGGTGATGCGGTAAGGTAGAACTCGCGGGTTTCGCGGGAGTCGAGGATCCTTCCTCAGGCCCGGCCGCGGCGGACGAGGCCGCTGGCAGGAATGTCACCAGGGGGTGACGCGGATAAGACCCGTCCCACGAGTGCGTGTCGACAAAGACAGGGCGAACCTCGAGCGGGTCGCGCTCGGGGTCCACGACGCTGGCCACCAACTTGCAGAGGTTCGCCTCGACCTGGGGGTCGCCCTCCGCGTAGGCGCGCACGGACTGCCGAAGGCCGGCGTAAGCCTCCGGCTCAGAGTCAGAGTACTCCAAGTCCGCGCCGTCGGTGCCAATCTGATCGAGTGAGGAAGGCCACGTGACTTGATCATCAGCCTCGGCATCCCCCATGCCAGCGACGTCTGCAGCTCGATCAGGATACTCTGGAGCGGTGCCACGCGACATCGGGCCCGCTGTACCGACATGGTACTTCGACCTGGTAGAAGAGGAAGTAGAGGGAGCAGCCATCCGTTCTGTGGCTGGGACCGCGTCATCGGTCTCGGCAGGCTTTACCTTGGCGAACTTCGCCTTCTGGGTCTCGTCGTCGACCTTGCCGGACTTCGGCTTGACTGGGGCGCCATCGATCTCCTCGAGAAACCGATCCATCTGCGCCTGCTCCTCTGCGCTCGTGGGCGCCGTGAACATCTGTTCTATGACTCGACGAACAGGTCCACCAGGAACTCGGAGAGTATGCAATATGTCCCTGTCCTCGGGGTTGCGACTAGGGGCGTCGCCCAGAACGTTGTCTTCACCTCGCAGCCAAACTCGAACGACCCGCGAGCCCAAGTCCTCCAGGTCGAGGGCCCAGCGCAACAGCTTCTTGGAGATACGCTTGTTGGCGAACAGCGAGTCGGTGAAGATATTATTCCGATGGTCCGTGTAGACTATTACAACGAACCCTTTTGTCAAATGATGGGTGGCAGACAAAGCCTCCCTGAGGCCACAGAGCTCTCGCTCGAACGTGCTCCAGCCCTGCTCGGTGGCGTTGAAGCCGCGGCCGACTACGGCCACTGGGCGCAAGGGACCGTCCTTCTCGCGCCGCTGAGCTAGGGTAGCCGCCCATGCGATGTCCGAGGCGTCGACGTACAGCTCGATGGGGCGACCAGAACTCGGGTCGGCTGCCGCGGAGTAATCCAGCGTGGCAAGACCCACCTCACGGGCGAGCGAGTGCTTGAGCACGTTGAAAGCCTTCTGTGCCTCTGCGTCCTTCTGGTAGTCCACGAACTTAGCCCCTTTCTTCATAAACTTCTTGAGCGGCGTCTCTAACGAGCTGAAGTTTGGGATAAACTCGCGCACGAAGTTGCAGTAAGCCCTGAAGCTGACCAGATCGTCGATGCTTTTGGGCTCCGGCCACTTCTCAATCTTGTCAGCCTTGCCTGGGTCCACGTAGCGAAGGCCACGCCCAAGCTTGAAACCCAAGAGATGGATGAACTCGTGCGCGAACTTGGACTTCGTGAGTTTGAACTGAATGTTCCTGCCCTTGGCCGCCTGCAAGAAACGAATGCAATGGTCGATGTGGCGGTCCACCACGTCGTCGTCGGCGTCGTGCTCGTACGCCTCGGTAGACAAGGTGCAGTCGTCCATGAACACCGAGTGGAACTCCTCGTCGTCCTTACCGCGAAGGTCCCCGAACGTCCAGTCCATCAACTTCTGGAAAATTGCGGGCCCCTGCTTGGCGCCGAAGAACAAAACCAAAGGTCGGAGCATTCCGCGCTTGGTAAGCAACGTAAAAGCCCTCTGCGCCTCGGGGGCAAGCTCGATCTGCGTGAAGCCCCAGATGCAGTCCAGCTGCGTATGTAAAGCTCCTTGTTGAGCTCGTGCGAGGCACTCGTCGGCGCGCGAGCTCGGCCACGCCTCCTCCTCGGTGCAGCTGTTGGGGTACCGGTAGTCCCTGACAGGGCGCCCGAGAAGACCCTTGCTGTCTTGGTCCACTACGAACGAAGGAGATCCCCACTCTGAACGCTCACCTGGAAGTAGCCAACGTGCCTTGCCCTCCTCGACCTCGACGTCCTCGTGGTAGCGCAAACGGAGCTCGTCGAACTTGCTGAGGGGGAACGGCTGCGTGACCTTCGGCACCGCATCTGGCCTGAAATTGATGTCGGCCACGAAGTCTTTGACCCTCGGCGGGTTGCAGCCGGGCAGCCACAGACAGCACGTGAATGCACGCACGACCTTGGTGAGGAAGCGGCGTTTCTGCTTCCCCGTAAGCTGCGGCCCCAGGAGAGGGCCGGCCTGCCTCTCAGCCTCGTCCTTGTAGGCCTCGGACTCCCGGTTCGGCCAGCTGACCTCCGACGCGCGCTTCTTCTTGTCCTCCTCGATCTCTTTCACCAGGTCGGGGAAGAGGACCTCGTGGCGCTCCTTCTTGCCACGAGTCTTGTAGGACGTCTTCAGCATCTGGGCCTCTGTCGAAGTACTTGCCGACGTAGCAGACTTGGCAGTTGTCTCGACCTCTGAGTCGCAATAGGCCTCGCTTCGAGCCTGCCACAATGAGTAAATCTCCGCCGCCCGTCTGGACTCCTCCCTGCCGAGGGCGTTGAGGACGTCCAAGTCGCGCTGGGTGGCATCACGGGCGCGAAGTGGTCGTTGACCAGGGCCAAAATGCACGCGATCGTGCACGATCAGGTCCACGTTGTAGGTACCGTTCTGGACTATCAGCGGCCCCTCGATGACCTGGCAATGGTCGGGTAGATCAGGACCTGGCTCGATCCAAAGGCTGCTCGAGCGAGCCTCCGGCGGCGCGCGCATCGAGATCGTCTTCACGATGCTCTGGCCAGGCGGCGCCTCCACGACAATGTGGTCCGAGCACCGCAGGAAGGTATGCGTATTCGGGTCGCCCTGCTCGCCTGGCAGCACGGTCGGAAAGCGAACCCCGAGCGACCTGAGCTCGATGGAGTCACGGTCGGAGACGAACCCGCACCTGTCCAAGGATGGCTTCCCGATGAGCAAGTCCTCGGTGCAATTCGGCACGACAAGGAACCCCATGCTGACCGTCTCGCAGGCGACAGCACCGTTCTCGCGAAAAGAGACCTTCAATGTAGCGAGTCGGTTCACCACCACCGTCTGGCCGCGCTCGAAAGAGCGGCAGGTGATTGGCTCGATGGCCTCCACGTCCTCAACGAAGTTGGACGTCCGGGGCTCCTCGAGCAGTGCCTTCAGGAAGTCGCGGTCTATGGAGTTGCGAGTAGCTCCGGTATCGAAGACTGTTTCAGTTCTCGCTTCCCCTATCCACGTGAAGGCTCGACAATTGTATCCGCCCGACACCTGCAAGACCATATGCTTGGCGCCACCGCTTGAAAGTTGACCGACCTTGCGAACGAGCTCGTTCTTCGCCGCTACTGCCATCAGCGGAGAGGTCGAATTGGCAACTCGGCTCTCGATGCCGCAAGCGATGACCCCGATCACCATCATGAGGGCTGCGAACCCAAGGAGAATCATTACGGCCTTCCCCGCGAAATAGCGCACCCGAGACAAAGTACGCCTAATCCAGCTGCGCGGGCGAGCTGGGCTCACAAGTCCGAGTCGAAGGTCTCGCTCGAATTAAGGTTCATATCAAACAGCTTCTTGGACTTGGCCTCGCCCCCGTTGCTGTCGATGTCGCTGTCGGTCTCCATCGTCATCAACGACGCCAGGAGCCTCGCGGCACGGTCCGTCCGCTCTTGTTGGTCAGTGGCGTGCGAGCCCTCAAACGTGAGCAAGCGGGCATTGCCGCCTCTGCCCTTGGACTTCGCTCTACCACCGCCCTGCTCGCCACCTCTACCTCGTCCTTTGCCACCACCCTTGTCGGCCTTCTGCTTGAGGTACTCCTCCGCCTCCTTGGCGCCCTTCTCGGTGTAGCAGAGGGCGTGGTGGCGACTGAGGTGACCCATGCCTCCGCAAGCCTGGCCCTTGTTCAAATGCTTGTACCAGCATGGGATAGCGTCCTTCACCGCCTTGGTCACGTCCCAGCCCTGCTCCTCACTGGCCTTCTGATTCGGGCAGACCGAGCACTCGGGGTGCGTGCCCTTGCAACGCGGGCAGTCGCCTGTGCCGGCCCGCGGCGCGGCCTCGGCCTTCGACCTGCCCTTGTCTGGCTCGCGGGCCGCCCTCCACCGGCTGTCCAGCTGCTGCGCCGTCGGAGTCGGCGGGAACGGGAAACCTGACGAGGCCGCTGAAAAAAAAAAAAAAAAAAATAAGATACAAAAAAATAAATAGCACCTTTCAGGCTCTCGATGAACTGTTTGGCCTTCGCCACCATCGCATCCTCCTCTCTTCTTGGCCTCCTTCTTGGCCGCGGCGAACCCGTCTTCGCGTTCGCTCGATCGAAAAATACTACTAAAAAAAAGAAAAAAGAAAAAAAAGAAGAAAAATTAGAAAAAAAAAAATAAAAACAAAAAAAAAAAAAAAAAAAACATAAAAAAAAAAAAAAAAAAAAAAAAAAAAAAAATAAAAAAAAAAAAAAAAAAAAAACAACAAAAAAAAAAATAAAAAAAAAAAAAAGTGTTCAGCAGCTGCCCCGGCTTAGTCTCGGACGACTGGAGCCCCACTCGAGCTCGTGCCCTGACGTACTGGCGGCACCGGCCCAGGATGGTCATGCTGCTGTCCTCGTCCTCGCGGATGGCCATGCGCCTCGGGAAGGTAGGGAGGTCCATCAGTAGATCAACAAGCTGCCTTCGATCTTCGTCATGAACTCTTCGATCTCCCCACATCAACATCGGCTCTCCGGGCGTCATCGTGTCAGGAGGCCGTACTTCAGCATGTCGGTCCTGACGCCGAGTATCAACGTTTCACGAACTTTGCAACGCCCTCTCCGGGTTCGCGACCTTTGGCAAGGACAAACCTGCTGTAGCGCCGGACCGCCTCGTTGGACTCGTGTTCGTCGTCGAGGTGGACGGCCCGCTTCAGCCTACGCTCGTAGCGAGACCAGTAGAGGCCCCATCGCGGATCGTCCCGAACACGAACCAGCTTCTGGAAGGCCTCCTCGCCACCCATCTCGGTAACGATCATGTCTTCGAGCTCGATCTTCGCGGTGCCCTCAGCGATGGCCCTCGCGCCCTCGAACCAGATCGCCTTGCTGTTCTGGCGCGCTTCGTTCTGGTAGGTGCGGAACTTCTCAAGCTCGACTTTCAAGGTGCTCGCATCCTTGCCCGTGAGCGAAGGCTTCGCTGGCTTCAGCTTCGACTGGGATTCGCGCTGCGCCTCGGCCAAGCTCTCCTGGGCGCGCGTAAGCCCCTTCAGCAGCGCGCTCTGCTCCTCGACCCCAGCACGCTGCTGGTCGGCCATCTGGCGCATGAACTCCATCATGGCTGCGGCGATGCCAGCGTCCTGGGACGATGCACCCGGCGTTGCCGCCGACTGCCTCGAGAGTCCTGGTGGGACCGCAGGTCCTGGATCGACTGGTCCAGTCCGACTGCCGAAATCCATGTCGTCCTGCTGCTCCCAATGGCCTTCGGCGTACTCATGCTCATGCGGTCCTGGAGCTTGGATGTCCATCAGCTCCTGGGCCGCCCTCGCCAAGGCCGCCTTCTCGTCCCTCAACTCGCGGGACTCGGCGCGCAACTCGTCGACCTCGTGCTCGTAGTATTCCTTCTCGGTGTTGTGCAAAGCCTGGCTTGCGTAGAAATTCACCCTGGCCGAATCTGCGCCTCGCTTGTGTTCCCGCTCCTCGTGCTGAGCTGATTCGACCTTCATGTCGCACTCAGCCCACGCAGCCGCGATCTGCCTGGACGCCTCGGCCTCCACCATCTCGCACTTCATGGCCGCGTCGTTGAGCTCCCCTCGCAGCTGGTCGTCCGACGACTGGGCACGCGTAGTCAGCCGCCGCCGCGCCAACTGCGCGATCTCGGACTCCTCTTGCAACTTGAACTTCAGGTCGCTCGCCTCCGCCTTGAGACGCTCGAAGTCCTGGTCCTTTGCGATGCCTCTCTGCTGCACCTTGGCCTCGGCGCTCCGGACCTGCTCGGTCGCCTCGGTCCACTCGGTCTGAAGCGTGTCTCGCGCCCTCTTGATCGCTCCGACTTCAGACCGCAGCTCGTTCTCAGCACGACCTGCAACCAAGACGTGATTGGCCTCGGCATCCAAGACCCGCATCTCGGCATTGTGGACATCCCTGGACCGCACCATCGCAGCGTCGCGCTCCTCGACGCACTGCTGCAACTCTTGCTGGATGTGGGTGGTAGCCGCATGCCGAGCACGACGGATCTGCTGCTCGTACTCGCTCTTCTCGTGGTTCAAGTACTGCTTGGCCTCGTCGTACTCGACCCTGAGGCCGTCCCTCGCCGTCTCGAGCTCCGCCTCAGTGACCCTCAAGCGCATACCTACGGTCTCCAGCTCGTGCCTGCCCTGCTGGAAGTCAACGATGCCGGCCACATAGGTGCTGATCTGCTGCTGGAGCTCCACATCGTTGCGACGCTCGACGCCAACCTGCACGATTCGGCGCTCCACGGTCTGGATCTCGGCGAAACGCCATCTCTCTGCTGGCTCGCCGCCGAAGACCGTCGCCTCTGGCCAACGGATCACGCGAACCTGGATCACCCTGACCTGCGACGGCCAGGCTGGCGACGTCCATCGGCCGCCCAGGGCTTGACAGTGCCAGCCGCGCCGGCGGGCCAACTCGATACGGCTCCCGGCGCCTGGACGCCGATCCCGCTCGTGCAGGCCCTGATCCCGCTGCTCCGGGAGGGGCGTTTCTGTCTGGATTCATTCCTCTGGAGGGCACCTCGACTGATAAATGCTCCCTAGTGTGTACACCAAATTTGCCCAATATTCTAAGCAAGCCATTTTGGCTCAAGCTGTTGTGGCTCAAGCTGTTGTGGCACGAGCTCAGGAGCTACCATTGCCTGTCGCCGGGGCGGTCAAGGTATATCTTTCGTCTGTCGCCGGGGCGGTCAACCACCTTATACACTTCGTTTTTTCATTCAAAACTCGTCGCAATGTCCGGTGATGCTGCCGCTGCTCTTCCAGGCGAGTCGACGGACTTCTGTTTCTCGCAGGGCGGGAAGGGAGGATCCAAAGGTCCTCTTGGGCGTTTGTCCAGCAGAGCTAATGCTGTCAAGGCAGCGCTCGCCCGTTCGCCCGGTGGAACTCCTGAGCAGAAGAAGTCGAGAACAGAGGACATGATGGACGTCGAGTTTCATCCCGTGCCAGCCTTTCCAGGCGCGGGCGGGAACGCAGAGCCGAGCACTGCTGCTTCTGCAGCGGTCGCTCCCGGAATGGGCCTTTCTAGTGGCCATTCCGGTGCATGCAAAGGCCCTTCGGGTGGCGTGCATGCGGCTCCCGGGACTTGCATGGGAAGCAGTCCCGGTAGTGAGCTGAGCGCTGCTACTTTTGTGGCGGCTGCTCCCGGATCTGGCCCTGCGGGTGGCGGTTCCGGTGCGTGCAATGGCCCTTCGGGTGGCATGCATGCGGCTCCCGGTGCACCTGGAACCGGCCCTTCGGGTGGCAGTTCCGGGCCGGGCGCGGATCTCGTCCCCCCGGGAGCGGGCGCGGGTTTCGTCCCCCCGCCGGCACCAGCCGTTGTTCCTCCTCCGGCATCTGCCTCAATGGACGAGAAATTGACTTTCATTATGACGAACATGAGCTTGAAGGCTGAAACAGCGACCAAAGACGACATCAACAGTTTGCACACTCGGATTTCGGCAGAGACGAAAATTGCAATTTCGGAAGCGGTCGATCCCCTGAAAGATGAGATGGAAGAGGTTCGTGGTCGTCTTAGAGTTCTTGAATCGCGTCCGTCTTCCAGCGGAGGCCTGAGTAAGCAGCAGATTCAGATGATTAATTCGATCGACCCGGCGAATCGGCAGGTGGCGTTCTCGGGCTTTTCGGCTTCGACTTCTTTGCAGGATCGCGTTCGTGAGATCGAGACGTACATGCTGAAGTTTGCCAGCTTACCTCAGTATTCCATTGGTCATTTCATGCAGGGGCCCCGGAACGCCCAGACTGCATCGAAGACCTCCTACATCGAGTTCTTGACTGAAGATAATCAGAAGAAATTCTTGGACGAGTCGCGGAATGCAAGTTTCGCTAGTTCGTCTGGTTCGATTCGCGTCCGGGCAGCCAAAACCAAGTTTAACAAGCATCGTGATTGGGCTCTCGGCCGAGCACGAGAGCTTTTGAAGGCAGCTGCGCCCGGACAGGCTGTCGAGGCCGACTTTAAGAACCGTTTTGTGCAGATTGACGGAGCGAAAGCTTTTCAGCAGTCCAATACTGATTTTGAGGGAGCGTTTTTGCATCCTTTTTTGAATCTGTCCCTGAAATAGGGGTGTTGGGGGGCTGCTTACTTGTTTCACTGCCCTCTCCTCTCCTCTACCCACGCCCTCCGCAATGCGGATTGTGGGCGGTCCCCGGGTATTGCAGTATCTTCTCGTCTCCGCCGGCGTGGTCCAAGATCCGCTGGTTCGCTTGAAAAGCGTCGGAATCGATTGCCTTCTGCCGCGGAATATCGACCTTCCAGTTGCAAGCCAGGTACTCTTTCGAGTTCACTGACAGGCAGTTCTCCTCCTCGTCCTTCTCCCTCGTCCTTTGTCCTGCCTCCTTCTGTTCCTCTCTCTCGCATCGATTTCTCGCAGCGTTTATTGACGAGCTATTTCGCTCGAAGTTCAGAGTCTTCTTCACGCAATTTGCCTCGAGACGGGGATCCGCGAGAATCCGGATCCGATCCGTCTCTTGTTTCACAAAGCCTCACCATACTTCATGTAAATATCGATAGTTTCTTAGTTCGTAAGGCAGAGCTGGAAGGTCGTCTTGCGTTGTTGCCGTTTCTTCCTGCCGTTCTCGTTTTGAATGAGACGAAACTAGACAGCGCTTGCAGCATTCCATCGCTTTTGCATTACACAGTTTTGGAGCGCCGTGATCGTAACAGGAATGGTGGTGGTGTTCTTGTTTTCGTGCAAGATTGTTTAACCAGTCTCTTCTCTCCTCTCTCTCGCTCTTCCTCTGCTGAGATCATCTGGTTCTTATATCATTCGCTTCTAGGTCCAGTCTTGCTTGCTTGTTGGTATCGTCCACCCCACTACGGCAAAATCGCAAGCATCAATGCGTTCAGTGCTGAATGGGCGGCGCATTCGAATCTTGCGGTAGGCACGGTCGTGGTAGGAGATCTGAACATACATCACACTGGATGGTTGCGTTTCTCCAGGGTAGTTACTCCGGAGGGTACGGCGACGCAGCATTGGTGCACGATGCACGGTTTCAAAGAGAAGGTTCGGCAGCCCACTCGAGGCCCGAATTTATTGGATTTAGTTCTCACCGACCTTCCAGATCAAGACTCTACTACAGTCTTGCCAGAGCTTGCCGACCATCGTCTTGTTCTTGTCTCCTTGTCCTTCCCGCCTCTCTCGGTTTCTTCTGTCTCCCGTCCGGTTTGGAAGTATAAGGAAGCGCGATGGTCGGCTATGCGTTGTCATTTTCGCAATACTAATTGGAGTTTTATTCCGGCATCCTCGCCTGACGCGGCAGCACGCGCTGTCGCGGAGAAGGTTTTCAGTGCCATGCAGCTTCACATACCGCAGTCGTCAATCCGCATGAACTCTTCCCATCCTTGGCTTACCTCTGCGTGTCTGGACAGCATCCGGGCAAAACGCGACACTGCTGGCACGCCAGATTTTCCATTGGCGGTGCGAGCTTGTAGTCGGCATCTTCTTTCTGCACATCGCGCCTTCATCGATCGCACTCGCAACAA